GGCACCCCCCAATGCCAAGCCCGGTCCTCTGCCAAGGAGAGGAGCCAGTTGCCAAGGTCACTGGTTATCGCCTCTCTGATTGGCTTTCACCGTCTCTCCCAGACTCACACCCCATTCTGCCGGTTGGGTGATTCCCACGGTCACAAGTAATCCCTCGATCACATACCTCCATGCATGCTGCACAGTCCACACCTATGAGTGCCCTCTGGAAAAGACACTCGCACAGCTCTAGAGTCAAAGACGAGGCCACTGATAATCCACACAGAAGGACGTCTTGAATTAGCTCATCTGAACCTGACACCATTAAAATGTCATTGTTCCTAAGGAAACCTTTTTAAAGGTCAAGTGTGAACCCCTGTCTCCACCGGAGGCAACTTTTCTTGTTAACATAACTCAGAAGAGCTGTGAGGTCACTGGCCCAAGGGTGACCTCTCTGGCGGTTGGCCCCAGATCCCTACTTGGAATGCGTTTACAAATGGAGGTCCAGGCGCCTGAAGTCTCCGTAGAGCCGCATGACGGGAGCTCTGAAAGCAGAACGGGCTTCTGTGGGCTGGCGTGGGCACCAAGCTCTTTCAGCTCCAGAGGACAAACCTACCATCTGGGCCATAGCTTACTTGTGACCAGGGCTGTCCCTGTAGTGCGTACACTGCATCTATTCACACTCTTTGGGTAACAGAATCCCTTGTTGGTAAAGTATCAGCTTTTACCTAGAAGTCTTGCTATCCAAGAGCAGGATTTTCTCCCTGAGGAAAACTTCCTGCCGCTGCTCCTGAGGTACCGGTTATTTGGTGCTATTCCAGCAGCCCTAGGCTCCGAGGTGTTCACACTAGCAGCAACCACACAACTCGTAAGAACTAGCCACTTCCCCTGGAATTCCCACCTATCCACGTACTCAATCGCGGCAGTAAAGCAGGCGTTATCCTGGCCAAGGCCATACTTCAATTCAAGTATTTAAGTGTTTACCAGGGGCCGAAACATTGACTGAGGCTCAGGGAAACGTTTCATGAAGTACACGGTGTTTGCAACACATGGGACAAATTTAAATCGCATCGAGAAAAGCCCCAGCATGAAGTGCTTCCGGTCACCACTGATGATCCAGAGTCAGACAGACATTTCTGCCGTGAGCTAAGCGCGGCGACCTATCTCTTAGTTAACATGAATATGTAACAGGACTGTCATCCAGCCTTCTAACACTAGCACGGATGGAGAGGATTCTACAGCAGCTCACAACTTACGCCAACACAGGCCTTTCGCTAACAAGGATTTCCTGAGTGCCTCTAGCGGCAGAGATACAGAAATTCCAAGACACGCTTACCTTTCGAATAAAAAGTTCAACTGCTTTTCTTATGCAGGTAACTCAGGACCCAGTGTGACTCCACCTACTGTGCCATCAAAGGGGTCCCAAGTTGAGCTGAATGTCCACCACAAAATCCTTTTTCCCTCGACCTCTATGAAGTCTCCTTTCTCTGTGAGTCCAGCTAAAAGAAATAGCTTCTTGTAAATACAGTACACGCCAAAACAATAGACATTCACATGTTTTCCCCCACATGTTACCCTGTTTAAGAGCAAGCGGGTTTGGAGTCAGAATGGACTGCCAATTGTGTCTGTCACAGTAAATAAACATGGCCTTGGGGAAGCCACTTACGCTCTCTGGGTCTGTTTCTCACCCCTAAAATGGAATAATAACACACATTGATTGGGTGGTTGTAAGAATGATATGAGCTAATGTTTGCAAATTTCCTAGTATAGGGAGTACATACTCAGTAAATGGTAGACTTAATTATTCTTTAATAATTGCCTCAACCTTTGGAAGTTTGCCAGGCAGTTATGATCACCCACATTGGGTAGGTGAGATGAAGTTATCCAGGGTTAGATGATTGATCAGTGGCATCCCTGGGGCTTCTGACTCCAGGCCCCAGGCCCCACCACACCCCATCACCCCCAGTCAACCTTGTAGACTTTTACAGAATGAGCTCCACTGTCCAGCACAAGAAGGGAATTCTCCTTGGTGAAGGTCAGCGCCACAGGGTGGGAAAGCCCCTGGGTGATGAGGGGCGTCAGTACGGGGAACTCCTCAGGCTTCCCTAAGCATAGGACGGCCTGACCAGAAGTGTCTGCAATAATCACGTTGCCCTGGTGGTCAAAGGTCACGGCGGAGGCAGTTATTTTGGAGAGGAAAAACAGGCTCAGCCCAAAGGTCTCCACCTGCCCGATGAGCTGCATGCTGGAGCTGAACACCTTCACCCTGGGGCTGCAGGCCCCGGTGCCCACGGCCAGGGGCCGCTCCAGGACTGCGATGGCCCCGGTGAGCCAAGAGACCGCCACCTGGCGTGGACCGCACAGGTGAGCCTGCAACCTTTCCGTTCTCCGAAGGACCCCTTCTGGAAAGTCGACTTCGAGGAAGTGCAGGGACCCTGCCTCCGCATCGGTGACCACGATTCCATTCTGAGGGGTGGTCTCCACCCCCCAGGGTAAGGAGAACTGGCCTCCAATGACAAGCTTGACCTGGCCAAAGAAATCAAACACTTTGACGGAGCGGTCGCCGGCGTCGGTGACAACCACATGGCAGTCGTTGGTGACGGTGACATCCAGTGGGTACCTAATGTCCTGAGCAGCGTCGCCCTTTTCTCCAAACTGATGCGCACATTCTCCTCCGGAATCAAAGACCTTGACCCGCCTCTTGCCGTCGTGCACCACCACGACCCGCCCGGTCTTGGGACACAGCGCCAGCCCGGTGGGGTTGACCAGGGTCCCCCAGCCGCCGAAGACGAGGCGGCAGGCGAGCGCCGCGGGGGCGCCGGGGGCGGCGCGGCGGGCGGCAGGGGCCGGCGGCAGCGCCGAGCCCAGGAGCTCCAGGAGGTGCAGCACCGGCAGGCAGTCGCTGGTGTCGCAGCCCCGGCAGGCTCGCCGGCAGAAGGGTCACTCGAGCGCCAGCGTCCGCGGGTGCGCCAGGGCCGCCACGCAGGCCAGGCAGACCACGTGGCCGCAGGGCAGGTTGCGCGGGCGCCGCTGCTGGCGCGGCCCGAACCTCTCGAAGCACACCTTGCACTCGAGCAGGCTGGCCTCGGCCTGGCGTAAATCAGCACCTGCCCTGCAGGTCGCTGGCCTGTTCCCTTAGCGCATGGATGTGCGGACATCAAAAACAGCAAGTTTTGTGTCCTCCCCAGGGAAACTGGCTTCTAGATTGTGCCATTCCTGGGAAGACCTGCTTTCTCTTTACATCGTGCATCGGCACCCCCCAATGCCAAGCCCGGTCCTCTGCCAAGGAGAGGAGCCAGTTGCCAAGGTCACTGGTTATCGCCTCTCTGATTGGCTTTCACCGTCTCTCCCAGACTCACACCCCATTCTGCCGGTTGGGTGATTCCCACGGTCACAAGTAATCCCTCGATCACATACCTCCATGCATGCTGCACAGTCCACACCTATGAGTGCCCTCTGGAAAAGACACTCGCACAGCTCTAGAGTCAAAGACGAGGCCACTGATAATCCACACAGAAGGACGTCTTGAATTAGCTCATCTGAACCTGACACCATTAAAATGTCATTGTTCCTAAGGAAACCTTTTTAAAGGTCAAGTGTGAACCCCTGTCTCCACCGGAGGCAACTTTTCTTGTTAACATAACTCAGAAGAGCTGTGAGGTCACTGGCCCAAGGGTGACCTCTCTGGCGGTTGGCCCCAGATCCCTACTTGGAATGCGTTTACAAATGGAGGTCCAGGCGCCTGAAGTCTCCGTAGAGCCGCATGATGGGAGCTCTGAAAGCAGAACGGGCTTCTGTGGGCTGGCGTGGGCACCAAGCTCTTTCAGCTCCAGAGGACAAACCTACCATCTGGGCCATGGCTTACTTGTGATCAGGGCTGTCCCTGTAGTGCGTACACTGCATCTATTCACACTCTTTGGGTAACAGAATCCCTTGTTGGTAAAGTATCAGCTTTTACCTAGAAGTCTTGCTATCCAAGAGCAGGATTTTCTCCCTGAGGAAAACTTCCTGCCGCTGCTCCTGAGGTACCGGTTATTTGGTGCTATTCCAGCAGCCCTAGGCTCCGAGGTGTTCACACTAGCAGCAACCACACAACTCGTAAGAACTAGCCACTTCCCCTGGAATTCCCACCTATCCACGTACTCAATCGCGGCAGTAAAGCAGGCGTTATCCTGGCCAAGGCCATACTTCAATTCAAGTATTTAAGTGTTTACCAGGGGCCGAAACATTGACTGAGGCTCAGGGAAACGTTTCATGAAGTACACGGTGTTTGCAACACATGGGACAAATTTAAATCGCATCGAGAAAAGCCCCAGCATGAAGTGCTTCCGGTCACCACTGATGATCCAGAGTCAGACAGACATTTCTGCCGTGAGCTAAGCGCGGCGACCTATCTCTTAGTTAACATGAATATGTAACAGGACTGTCATCCAGCCTTCTAACACTAGCACGGATGGAGAGGATTCTACAGCAGCTCACAACTTACGCCAACACAGGCCTTTCTCTAACAAGGATTTCCTGAGTGCCTCTAGCGGCAGAGATACAGAAATTCCAAGACACGCTTACCTTTCGAATAAAAAGTTCAACTGCTTTTCTTATGCAGGTAACTCAGGACCCAGTGTGACTCCACCTACTGTGCCATCAGAAGGGTCCCAAGTTGAGCTGAATGTCCACCACAAAATCCTTTTTCCCTCGACCTCTATGAAGTCTCCTTTCTCTGTGAGTCCAGCTAAAAGAAATAGCTTCTTGTAAATACAGTACACGCCAAAACAATAGACATTCACATGTTTTCCCCCACATGTTACCCTGTTTAAGAGCAAGCGGGTTTGGAGTCAGAATGGACTGCCAATTGTGTCTGTCACAGTAAATAAACATGGCCTTGGGGAAGCCACTTACGCTCTCTGGGTCTGTTTCTCACCCCTAAAATGGAATAATAACACACATTGATTGGGTGGTTGTAAGAATGATATGAGCTAATGTTTGCAAATTTCCTAGTATAGGGAGTACATACTCAGTAAATGGTAGACTTAATTATTCTTTAATAATTGCCTCAACCTTTGGAAGTTTGCCAGGCAGTTATGATCACCCACATTGGGTAGGTGAGATGAAGTTATCCAGGGTTAGATGATTGATCAGTGGCATCCCTGGGGCTTCTGACTCCAGGCCCCAGGCCCCAGGCCCCAGCACACCCCATCACCCCCAGTCAACCTTGTAGACTTTTACAGAATGAGCTCCACTGTCCAGCACAAGAAGGGAATTCTCCTTGGTGAAGGTCAGCGCCACAGGGTGGGAAAGCCCCTGGGTGATGAGGGGCGTCAGTACGGGGAACTCCTCAGGCTTCCCTAAGCATAGGACGGCCTGACCAGAAGTGTCTGCAATAATCACGTTGCCCTGGTGGTCAAAGGTCACGGCGGAGGCAGTTATTTTGGAGAGGAAAAACAGGCTCAGCCCAAAGGTCTCCACCTGCCCGATGAGCTGCATGCTGGAGCTGAACACCTTCACCCTGGGGCTGCAGGCCCCGGTGCCCACGGCCAGGGGCCGCTCCAGGACTGCGATGGCCCCGGTGAGCCAAGAGACCGCCACCTGGCGTGGACCGCACAGGTGAGCCTGCAACCTTTCCGTTCTCCGAAGGACCCCTTCTGGAAAGTCGACTTCGAGGAAGTGCAGGGACCCTGCCTCCGCATCGGTGACCACGATTCCATTCTGAGGGGTGGTCTCCACCCCCCAGGGTAAGGAGAACTGGCCTCCAATGACAAGCTTGACCTGGCCAAAGAAATCAAACACTTTGACGGAGCGGTCGCCGGCGTCGGTGACAACCACATGGCAGTCGTTGGTGACGGTGACATCCAGTGGGTACCTAATGTCCTGAGCAGCGTCGCCCTTTTCTCCAAACTGATGCGCACATTCTCCTCCGGAATCAAAGACCTTGACCCGCCTCTTGCCGTCGTGCACCACCACGACCCGCCCGGTCTTGGGACACAGCGCCAGCCCGGTGGGGTTGACCAGGGTCCCCCAGCCGCCGAAGACGAGGCGGCAGGCGAGCGCCGCGGGGGCGCCGGGGGCGGCGCGGCGGGCGGCAGGGGCCGGCGGCAGCGCCGAGCCCAGGAGCTCCAGGAGGTGCAGCACCGGCAGGCAGTCGCTGGTGTCGCAGCCCCGGCAGGCTCGCCGGCAGAAGGGGCACTCGAGCGCCAGCGTCCGCGGGTGCGCCAGGGCCGCCACGCAGGCCAGGCAGACCACGTGGCCGCAGGGCAGGTTGCGCGGGCGCCGCTGCTGGCGCGGCCCGAACCTCTCGAAGCACACCTTGCACTCGAGCAGGCTGGCCTCGGCCTGGCGCGCCAGGGCCCGCAGCGCGGGCGCGCTCCCCGCGGCCTCGGCGCCCATGGCGCAGCCCGCCCGCCCGCCGTCACGGGGCGGGGCGCCGGGGCTCACGCCGCCCGCCGCCGCGGCCTCCGCCTCCGCTGCCCCCTGGCGGCCGCGCGCCGCACCGCGCCGCTGGCCGGGCCCGGGGTCCAGCGCTGGCGCCCGCGGTTTCCAGGCCGCAGCGCTGGGGGCCGGTGCTCGGGCGGCCGGGCGTAAAGCGCGCTCTCCTAGCTCGCGGTGCCCCTGTTCTGACCGTGCAAACGCACTCGGGAGAAGTTAGCCGCCAAGGGGCTAGCCAAGTGTGTGCCCGGCTTCGGGGTCTCCTGTCACACTTGCAGTAGAGTAGACGCTTGATACTTGCCAGATGACGTAGGAACGATAATTGTAAGATGATGATACTTGTAAGATGACGTAGGAACGAAGGAATGTTGTAGGACAATACAAGACTCACCCCCCCCCCCAGGTGAATGCATAAGGAAGCTGTTAGTCGTAATAGTTATAAAACTTACTCCATGTCTGCCCTGTTTTAAGTGGTTTTTATTTAAACCTCGTAACAGCCCTGTAAGCGTATGTTATTTTCATCGCCCCTTTTCCAAAATACCGTTTATAGAGATTTCAGTAGCTTGCCCAGGGGCACACGGCTAGGAAGTGGCTAGGCTGGGATTTGAAGCCAGTTTGAGTGTAGAGCTCACACTCTTGACTCTCCCAGTGATTTTTCGACCTGGTGATGTGGTTCATGGTAAACAGCCTGGGTCCCATCTGGAGGTTTAATGGGTCCAGGGTGTGGCTGGGGCAGCTAGAATTTGTAAAAGTTCCCCAGGTGATTGTAAAGCGCAGCCGAGGTTCAGAACCGCAGCACGGTGATATCGCTTCACACAGCACCGAGTTCCCATCTTCCACCCTCAGTCAGAAGGAAAGTAAACAGTCTGCCCTGTGTTGGAAGGTCTTCAATAACATCATCTCTCAGGAATCCAGTGTGACACTAGTCCCATTTTTAGGAGTCCTTGCTCACCCACATGAACGGTGTCTTTATAAAACCACTTCTCAGATCACTTCTCTTCATTTAGTTGTCATTGTCATGGTCGCTTGCCCTCTTAGGTGCTGGACTTCTGATAAATGGGATTTTTATCCCCTGTTAAAATCCCGGGAAGGAACTTCAAGGCAGCAAAGAACATTTTCTTATGAAATGTTAACACAATCCAAAGATTATCTGTGTATTGGGGGGACACAATAATCGACTTACATTTTAATTTCAGACTATAATGCATTTCAGTTCCAAATAAATAGCCAGCTAAACTCACATCAAGTAGAAATGACTGAAGCAATCTTTAGGTCAAGGAATGTACTCAGGACAATGAAAGCAGAGTATTTTTACAACTTTAGTGTTGTCCAGTAGAAATAGAATGAGAGCTATATATGTACTATTACATTTTCTAGTAGCCACATTTTTAAAAGTCAAAAGCAACGAGTAAAATTTAATTGCAGATTTTATTTGACCCAAAATAGCTGAAATATTTCATTTTGACAGATAATCGCCAAAGAACTTAATGATATATACACCCCTTTTTTCCCTAAAATCCAGTGTGTATTTTACACTTACAGCGCTTCCTGTTTCAGACCAGCCCCATTTCAGGGGCTCAGTAACCGTATGTGGCTGGTGGCTGCTGCGTGAAACAGTGGAGATCTGGAGGAAGTTTGTCCTGTGATATATTGCCTTCTCAAGATGCTTTCCGGGCTGACTTATTTGATCCTTGACTTAGTTTTGACTTGTCTCTGCTCCAACATTGTTTTTAAATGGGTGCAACTCATTGCTGATTGCTGGCTAAGCTTTTGCACCCCGCCCTCCTCCCCCTCAGTGACTTGCCAGCCTGTGAATGAGTCTCGGGAGAGGGGCTGGAGGGCTCAGCAACCGTGCGGGGCTCCCTGGTACTCTTACCTTCTTCTTAGTCCTTTGCTGCCCCTGCGGGGCAGTCAGCGGTACTGCACCCAGAGGCCGACGGCGCCTAGCGAGGTAAACAAAGCTGCAGATCGGACCTATTTAAGGATGTTAATGGTCATCGCTCCAACTTGGTAGTGGACGGCACAGCGGTTCTGGAAAGCAGTGGGGCAGTAACACAGACGATCCACGGCCATCTACTGTCAAGACTCTAATGGGAAACGTAAAGTATGGAGATAGAACTTTGTGGCCTTTGGGAGATAAGGTTATCTCAATTACCCAGAGCTTCAGAACTAAAAACATGCAGGTTTCTCAAAATACCTTCCAGAGTATAATCCTCATCACATATGTACACAAGTTGATTAATAAAAGAAATGCCCTGAGTCCAATCCTAACCTTTTTTCCTTTGACGAGTTACCTGTGATGAATGCTTCCTCCCCTGTGGCTGAGTCTCCAAGCATTCGCTCTGTGCTTTGCCCCAGCACTGCTCACTCAGCAGGGTCGGGGGCAGCGTGCCCATCTCCTCTCGCTTTCCCCCAAAGGAGCCCTGGAGTTTGCAGGGGGTGAAAGACTTGAAGACCAGGACCTGTGGTCAGCGGCTGGCTGTGGGCAAACTACCGCCAGCAGAGGGGAAATGGAGCCCCAGCTCAGGTGGCTGCAGTGGGGAAGAGGGTGCACAGAGGTTGGGCTGGGGAACCTGGGCAGGGAGGCAGCACTTCGGCAGGCGGGCTCCTGGTTTTGCCGTTTGGTATGTATGTCACACACGTGCAGCTTAGAAGGACTCCCAGAACAAGTGCAGTGACGCAGGTGCATCCCAGACTGTACCTGTCGATGACGCGAGGGGAAGGAGGAGGGGCGAGGCTCGTAGAATAAAGCATCTTGATGAGGGAGGAGGCGCGTGACTATTAGAAAGAGGAGCAAAGGCGGCAGGCGCTTTAGCCTGGGCCCGGAGTCCGGAAGGACGAGCTTTACCGACCGGGAAGCTGCTGGCTCAGCCAGGTTTGCGTTTCAGGCCGGCTCCACGGCACATCCTCACCAGGCCAATGTCTGCGGCGCGTGTGGCTGTTGGGCTCTGACCTGGGCTACCGTGACGTGTCCGGCTTTGCTCTGCCCCAGGGACAGCCTGTCTTCCATCACCCACGCTGACCACCTATTGAATTTCATAACTCAGGCCCCATGTGCTCGGCTTCTCAGGGGTGAGGGATTTGGTGGGGAGGGGAGAGTAGTTCAGGCTTGAAGCTTTTGAGCACCTACAGAAAAATGAGCTGCAGATGTATGGTTGGAGATGAGGATCTGGAAGTTTTAATGTCTCTCAAACTTGAGTGTTCTCCTTGGCCATCCTTGGTCTTTTTCTCTTCTCTTCCCACCTGCTGTCCTTGAGCAATGTCATACTCACGTGCTTATGGTTTAAGTGGCCACCTATTTGCCGACAGCTGCCGGCGTGTACCCCTAATGCAGCCTTACCACACCATATAGTAATAATGAGCATCCTGTCTCTGCCACTAGACTCTAAGATGCTTGAAACAGGTCCCTGCCTTCAGTCATCAGTGGCTCCTCCTCTCCCAGCACTCTCAGGAGTCCCTCGGCCCTGGAACAACATGGCAGATAGGGGAGCCATCCTTGTGTGGTCAACTGACTCTCCCCAAACTTAAGCACTAATAGCCTATTGTTGACTGGAAGCCTTACCAGTAACATAAACAGTTGATTAATACATATTTGTATGTTATATGTATTATATACTATATCCTAACAATAAAGTAAGCTAAGGAAAATATTTTTTCAAGGGTCAATGGCATTTACATTTGAATGACTTGAATACTGAGGAAAGATTAAATAATTATGGCACTACTATATGATAGAACATTATGAAACCACTAAAAAATGTTGCTTTTTAAAAAAATATTTAATGACATGAGAAGGAACTGCTGAAAATTAGGACTAGAAAAGCAAGTAGAGATACAATACTGTATCCATAAGAGGATCTCAGTTTTGCAAAAGCCTACACACGTATGAGCAGACGAGGAAGAGAAGAAAATGTCACCATTTTTAGTTAATTATCTTGTGATAGAATTTGGCTGCTTTTGTTTTTCTTTTTTAGACTTTCCTATACTTCTCACATTTTCAATGAGAAGGTATTATTAATTAAATAAAAATGTGTTAATATTTTATGGTGTATTTTACTTCTAAATATTTCCCCTGTCTTCCTACCTGCTACAGATAACACCAGCATTCAAACAAATTTCTCTGAATACCCAGTGGTTACAGATCGGATTTTCAGACATATATTTTCAGCTCACACACATAGCAAATAAACCTGGGATATGATTAAATACCACAGACCAGCAGAGTGGCTGGGCTTAAGGTACTGTATGGAGTTCTAGCCTGTCCCCACCAACTAGCCATTCCAGTGAATTTGTAATGCAGTGTCTGATAAGAAATAATGCACACTGGGTAAGAATGATGGAAAGTCAGCTGAGCTGTAAGAATTAAAAGCAATTGTGATTTTTTTAAAGCAGTCAGTAGAAATATTTAAGAGAAAGATCTTTAAAGAGTGTGTACGATATACCTATATACCTGTATGCATAAACACACATCTGTAGTTGTGAGTGGGAAAAGTGCTTGGACTAATTTCTCAGTCAGTCAGGTTTCTACCTGCTGCCTCATGGGCGAGTCTCTCTCACGGGGGACATCTTTCAGACCACCTTCGTGGTCTCCATACCATTAATCCGCTAGAGAACCAAATCTCCAGCTTGGATACCCAAATAGGCATTAAAAGCTCTGGATATATTCCTAAGCGTTTTCCTTTCCACATTCACCCAAATGGACAATTACATCCTTGTTTCGTCCTCTGCCTCTGAAAACACTGACGGGAATTATGCTAATGTGTTCACACCTGCTTTCTAGGGAGGACAGGGCACCCCGTAAATCAGTTTGCAGGACACACAGACTCAGGTAAACTATTATTTAAGTTACAAAATTAAGTGAAAGGCATTTTTAGGCAATTCTGAAAAGAATTCAATTGCTCTAAAATAACTTACGTGTAGTATATCTTCCATCTTGAGACTTTTTAAAAGTCTCCCCCAACAAGGTCAGTATTCCCCCAACAAGGACATGTAATACATAAAAGATCAACTACATAAGGATATCTGCATTTTATTATTTAAGATTCTTTGGGAGCAAGTGATAGAAAGCAATTCTAACCAGTGAAAGAGAAAAGAGGTCTACATCAGAGGGACGCAGGGCAGCTGGGTTTCAGGAAGGCGTCAAACGGAAGCCCAGCACGCCTGGCCCCTCAGCTCTCTGCCTCTTTCTGCCGATCCAGGTCTCTGGGTGCCTCACACCTGTAGGGGGAGTGTGGCTGCCCCGGAGTCCCTGGGTCCACATGTTCCAGTTTTACCCACTCTGAGCAGCTAACTTGCTTTTTTCAGTCCCCAATTCTAAAAAAATCTAGGATTGGCCCGGCTCTTGGCCCCTTTACCTGGTGCAGAGGTGAGGCCAGAGTGACAGCTTCCGGAAGCCTGTACTATGCACCGAGGCAGGGCTCAGAGAAGTGAGAACCATTGCGAGCTGGGAGACTACAGACTAATAGCCTTGTAAGTATCAGAATAAGACCTGTGCCAGAGAGCATGTCAGCCAGGCGTGTAGCATAACCAGGGGCAGAAAGAGAGGTCAACAACTCTGAACCCCAAGACACATTCACAATATTCTGCTTACGACACAGTTCTGGGGAGAGATCTACAGCTCTCATCAACATTAAAGGAGTCTAGAATCTCCCCCATTAACAACCTTTAATAAGGTTTAATAATAACCTTTAATAATACCCACCATCCTGTTAACACGGGCTAAACAATCTCAATCATTTAGGTGTTAGTGCAGCCCTAGAAAGGAGTGTCTGATTTAACAAGACATGACTGTTAATGAAAAACGGGTAGGTTTTGAATCTAGACTGTCATGATGAACAGTTGAGAATCTGCCCCTGGGTTTACTGTACTTTGTAAGACTTTATTATTTAAACAAGATCAAGGGAAGAGAGACAAAAAGTTGCCAAACCCAGAAAAATGTCTTTCTTTAAAAAATTTATTTTTACAGTTTGAGAAAAATAGTTTATTGCATATATGTTGATTTATTTAGTTTTAAAATTTGTTTCTTGATCCTGTTACATATAAAATTACATAAAGAGAACAAAGTATACCAATTTTTCTATGTCTATCATACTTCTTGTACATACACTGCATTTCTTTTATTTTTAATTATACAAGGAATGCTGATTCCAAACATTTCTTGCAGTCTGTAAGTAAAACACACAGGTAGAATCTTGCACCCCCGATCATGCTCTCCATTCTAAAGGCAGCTACTCTAACAATGAGGTAAGTGGTTTTCTGAAAAGTTATATGCATTTTGGAGCAAAGATCTGTGGTAAGATTTGTGAGCAATTTTTTTCGAAAGTCACCCGTTATAGTTTCACATCATAACATAATCTTCAGTTGCCCCAAAGCTCAAAAAACAAGTGGATATTACTTGCTTTTATTTATGTCCTGTTTACTTTTCTGTAAATAGGTATAACTTTTCAACAATGGAGTCAATTCCCCAACTTTTATGTCGCTCCTCAAAAGCATCAACCTTCTCGAGACAGTGAATATTGCACAAGGAACCTGAAACAAGAAGAGAGGGTGACCATCATGGACTTTCCTAACAACACATCAGATGGTCTTAAAAACAGTATGTACTGAAGATTTTACGTTATAGTGAAAATGAGAACATGCTAATGGCAAATTTTCTAAACTCTGAATTGTTCATAATTATATATATATATAAATCACTTCTAACTCCTAAGGCCTAAATTAAACATACTATTTCTCCAGAAGAATTCAAATATCTTTAGCAGAAGAATATCACTTAGCTAAAAAGGCGTTATTACAGAGATTGGTCCCTTTTCTAGGATGAAATAGAGTTCAATAAAATGGCTTCTGACTTTTAAAAGTTATATTTCTAGATGCTAATAGTTTGCTAACAGCTCAAAGATGTTAACTGTTGACTTTAGTTCAAAAGTGACAGTGCCTATCCGTAACTTACCAAACAGGCTTTTAATTTCAGCATCTGGGACGTAGAAGGGTGGGCCTAGGTGAAAGAGAAACATGGTGAAGATTAATCTCTATAGATCTAGTTCTAAGGGGAAATGAATTCTCAGGGCCCACCCCCCTGCTTCTGGGCAGTGACCTCGGTATGCTTATGCCCTACACACAACTTCATCATCCCAGCAGGTGAGGATGCGGCGGGTCTCTCTGCTTGCTCTTCTGCACATCTCGTACCAAAGAAGTCAACTGAGGGGCGGCAGTGGGCGACGTGAGGTGCCCAGCAACCGCGCCGGTGAGCCGGCTGAGCCTGCCACGGGACCTGGGCACGCTCGAAGCAGAGTGGAGCTCAGCCACAAACTCCCCTGCAGTTTACTTCATCGTCCGGAGCACGGGCTTCCCAGGACTCCTGCGTTCACCCGCACTCGCCCCTGTTCTGTGCACTCTTCCCGCTTTGCTGCGGGCCATTTAGTTTAAAGGAAATTTAGCCTCTACCCTTTTCTAGAGCGGTGTTCTGAGCTCCACCCCACACAGAGCCTCCTGGTCTTCTGCCCACACGCCCTTCCCTAAGCGCCCTGTTCAGGAAGGGAAGTGAAATCAGATTAGCAAAGCTGATGCCTGTCTCCATTCCCATCTGATTGTCCCACACTTAATTATGGACACTAGGCCTTATCTTTTAACGAGTTTTAAAGATCTGATTTACTCAAACAGAAACACAATACTAATACATATAAAAACTTAGAAAACACGGCACTTTTTAAAAAGTTTGATTAACACTCAAAAAGGAGATTTTACAAATTAAAAGTCTACGTGTTTGCTTTTCACTTCTTTCTGAAAATAAAGCTCAGCTATGACACAAATTAAATTTGCAATGTTCAAGTAAGTCAAAGAGAGTCCAGAAGAAAATATCATTTTTATAAATTCAAGACAAAGATAAATGATATAATCTCAGAAAGTAAGAATAGCAATAGTTTAGAGATTTTCCTTCACATCCCCTACCCCCATGTCCGCTCAGCCCATCCTCTGAGGGTGTTTGTGTGCTTACAGGCATCTGCCGGACACAGCCACCATGGATGACACCGATACACTATGCCCACAACAGGGTGACCAGACCTCTTCCTCCTAATCCAGGGCTCGTGCCATCTCTCTTTTATAGTAGGGCCATCCTTCTAAAGTTTGAGCTCTGAATGGCGAACAAAATGGGAATGGAGTACCAGAAAGACATGTCAAGTGTGAAGAGAAGAAAATGTTTATACTTTCCATTAGCCAAAAAACAGACTTATTTTCATATATATAAGCAGTATGCTTCCTATGAGATAAATCAGGAGAGAACAATGCGATCTATGTCACAGAATTAAATTAGGAAATGGAGCAACTAGAAAAGCAAAGAAACCTCACCTGCATATTTAGTTGGATCGTAAGAAAGGACGCACAAGAGGTAGTGACACCCTTTTCCCATTAGGGACAGCATTATATCTGCATAGCTAAAAAGAACACAGAAAGTATGTGTTACATTTCTCTACAGACAGAGCCTGCAGGGGACAGGAGGCAGGGAGGGGAACCTGCATCTACTTTCGTCTACATGACAGTTTAATTCTAACCACCATATGAAGCCAATTTTCATTCTAAAGCCCAGGAATAGGGTTAGCAAATGATGTCACCTGCCTAAGCTGGGAAAGAGTAAAGATGGGTCTCAAAACGAGCCCTGCTTCCAGAGCCCACCAGACAGAGATACGGAGATGAGCAGCGTCTCCCTCCAGCCGGTGGCCCTTGCAGGCCTGTTGACTTTGCACACATACTCCTGAAGGCCCGCCAGCCCTGGGGCAGCGGCTCCCCACCAGGCTGAGGACCACAACCCCAGGTGCTTGCTGAAGAAAAGCTGATTTCGCATCATTGACTCAGTGGGTTTGCTGTGGGGCCTGGGATACTGCTGTTAACAAGTACCCGGGATGGCAGAGTCCTCCCCAGGGCCCCTGTAAGAGGTACAAAATGCAACCCCTTTCCTCTGTTTGGCTGGGGAGAGACAAGATGAACAAACACGCAAAAATTCAAGGTGGTGTGAAGCTGGAGCTGGGCCAGTACGGCGTGACCCACGGGACCTGGGGGAGTGCCCTCATGCGAGGTGCCCGGGGAGCAAGTGACACCGCCTCCCGGGTGTGTCTGATTCGTTCAGGGGGGGACCCCACTCTCACGGGACCCATCCGTGCAGGGCCTGGGAGCCAGCGCGGTGGGTTGGACCAGTCTGATGACTCCACCGGGAAACTGACCCAAGAGACCAGAGAGGACTAGTGGGCTTGTCAGCTATGATCACCGCACCGTGGCTGGAGCCCTGGTGTGTTGGGTGGGGCTGGGGCGGCTGAAGGCCGTGAGCAAGGGAGGTACGAGGCAGCACCAGCGGGACGAGGGGAGGAAGCGCAGTGGCCAGAGGGCAGAGCAGATGCACGCAGGGAGGCGGACAGACACCCAGCAGGGAGGAAGGAGCCCTGGCTCTTGGCACACCTGTTTCCGGGCACGGCCATGCCAGGCTCCCTGGCCAGAGTTCTGTGGGAGGCGAGGGAGGCTGCACAGCGCGGAGGTCAGGAGTGCGCCTGCCGGGGGCCTGAGCCCAAACCCCAGCTCCTCCCCTTACTAGCTACTTGGCTTCATGGTGCTGCAGTTTCCCCACTTGTAAACTGTTGTGAGAATCCGGAGTTTGCACACAGGAGTGCTCAGCACACCGCCTGGAATGCAGGGTGCGCTCCGGGCTGGTGTCTGCCATCCCTCTGGGCACGCGCCCCTGGCCGGCAAAGGAACCAGACTGTGGGTAAAATTGTAACATTTCTAGAATATCTTGCCTGGCTTTGGTGCATCTGCATATGGGGTGGAGAGAAGTTCGTCTCCATGTCAGTGGGCAATTACCTGGGCAACTGAGGGTGTGTCTGAACCTGGGAGGTTAAGGGGAGGGGCTCGCTTGCTGGCTGGCCTGCTTCCTCCTGAGCAGGGGAGAGAGAGACGATGCTGGACTGTAGTTTGTAAGCAATAAACGGGTTTAAAACTTTATTTCTCCCTTTGACTGATTTCAGTTTTTATTGGTATTTTGCCCCGGGATTTCCTCTGCCAAGACTTACACGGACCAAAGTGCTCTTTTAAGCGGAAACCTTTCTTTCCTACCTTTCTGATTCTTGTTCTTAAGAAGAAGAGAGCAACAGCCTGCTGTCTCCGTGAAGGGGTCAGACTGGCCTGTCAGGCTTCCGAAGGGGGCAGACCGCACTCTGCTCGGAATGTGGACTTTCACTCTCAACCAGCTTCAACAATTTCAGGAAAATGAGAGAGGTATGCCCCACTGACTTATGTTAGGCAAGAGACCTGAGGGGCGCAGCAGAAAATACCCAGGACTAACGACTGACAACAGGAATGAGATAAAGCACCACGTGCCATGTACATGCACTACGACCAGTTTACCTTCTGGCAGCTCAAAGTAAGCAGTTATTCTGGTTAACAAGGGCCAACATGTTCTCAGGTATGCCTGGAGCTGTGACCACACACACACATAACTCCTACTTGCTCCCCCCCACACACACACCCCTACATGCACACACACATATGCACACACCCCTACATGTGCACACATAACCCCTACTTGCTCACACACATACCCCTACAGGCACACACACTCCTACACACACGACACACACTCCTACACGCACACACACATATACACCCTTACATGCACACATACACACACCCCTACAACACACACATACATGCACACACACCCCTACATTCACAGACACATGCATACACACCCCTACATGCCCACACAGGGCTGGAAGGGGAGTAAATACTCAGTGTACAGCTGGGGGGACACACAGTCTGTGGCCAAGCTAGAACTGATTCCTAGTAGCAGCCTCACTACTCTTTGTTACCCACGAAATAAACAGTTCAGAGGCCACGGAGAAGGAAGGCCTTTGTGTCTAGGACAGAGGAGGTGGTGGTGGCTGGCAGCCAACAGTGTATTTCCCTTGCTCTGAATCTGCTTTGCTTTCATACATTAATTCAACAAATATTTATTAATGAGGCTCGTACTCCATGTTAAATGTATACTATGCCAGATGGTGGGGATGTAACTGAGCACATTGTGGATGGTCTGCCCTTGAAGTGAGCTTTGTGACTTCCTGTTTGTTCCCCACTGACTGGTGGATTTTAACAGGCACACCTTAAGGAAGAGGATGACCACCCTTAGGAAGTGGGGGACACCTTCAAGATTAGACATTTAGCAGAACTGAGTTTAGTATACAAATGTAGTATTTTCTGGAGACAGAGGCTGCAGGAGATACTCTGAGCTGGTAAAGGACACTGATGTCACACGGGAGATGCAAAGCAGACCCTGGAAATGTGGATGTTTGGGAGGAAGAACAGAGCTGGAAAAATTAAAAGGATGTGGGCAAATACCGTGGGCGATTTGCTCAGTTATTCCCCACCATCCAGCAGAGTATATACTTGGAACATAGTATTTGTTGAATGACTAAATGAAAGCAATAGGACACCTGAAGCGATCACTAGACAAGCAAGTGTGAGAGAGAGGCTGCCAGCACAGAGGCTGGGTGGGTCCCGGAGGGGGCGGTGCTGTCCGGTGACCCCGTGGGGAAGGGCCCAGCAGAGAGATGCAGGAGGAGGGGTGACAGACAGAAACGGGGAGAGGAGCGGGGGTCAGCTCTGGGGGAGCAGGTGGGTCGAGAAGATGCCGCATGATCTAATTAAAAAACATTAGCTCTGGCAATAAGCCTTACTCATGAAACAATTTCTAAAAGTAAGCATTTTATCTCACCGATGTGTATCCCATTTTGCTGTGTGTTAAGAGTCCGCCTCTGTACAGCTAAACAATTCAAATTTTATGTGCTCCATCCAAGTAGCGTGTGAATGACAGTTCACCCAGGAAGTACTTGGGAGCGGGCACATCTCAGCATTCTTCCTCATATTTGAGTTTTGTTTTCTGAGCAGACCGGGCACAGTAGCAAGGGTCACCAGAAACATCAATCACAAAAGCTCTAATATAACAGCAGCTAACATTTCAACAGTTTTACACAGTTGACAAGGCCCTTCCCCATGTGTCATTTTGTTCATTTCCACAGTGACCCTCGGAGGGATCAGGAGCGGGCGCTTTGAGGCCGAACCCCCTGAACCTGAGTCTCATTTCTGTCACATACTCGCCGCCTGAGTTTGGCTCAGGGACTTCATCTTTTTGACCTTAGTTCCTTATCTGTAAAGAGAGTAAGACAACACATTCCTCACGGGGCTGCCTTGTGGATTTAATGTGTCCATCCACAGAAAGTGCTTCAAACAATGCCTGGCACATGGGGTACCCAAGTGTTAGCTGTAATACCAGCGGACGTGGTGGTGACAGTAGAGTCGACACGCCACAGTTTTGCACAGGAGGACACTGAGACTTAGGGAGGTCAGAGACATTGATCAAGGCAACACAGCTTAGAAGTGACAGAGCCACAAGCCTTGCACCCAGGTCCCTAGAGCCAATCCTATACTTTTTAGACAAAGCTGGTATTGGATTCAGGTCTTCTAATCCCAAATACAGTCGGCTATTTCTACTAGACAAAGTCTGGTTAATTTTCTGGAGCCCAGAAAAAGAACAGGTCACTAAATTAAGAAGGGGAAGGAGGGAAGGAAGGAGGGAGGCAAAGGCACCTTAATTAAAGAAACCAAATCACTGACCGTTTATGATCACTCGGGTTAACAGCAACTAATGCTCCTCTATCCCAAATCCTGTCAAATTTGCCAATATTTGCTCTATCAAAACAAAAAAGAAAAAAACATATTTTATCTGAGAAAACTCGAATCTTTAGCAAGATGAACAGCGCTCCGCACCGCCTGCTGGTACTTGCCCAGCGGCTGAGGAGCTGGGGCCTCACACTTGCCCACCCGGGGTCTCGGGGGTGTGCGGACCCGGGTGTGAGGAGCTGTCCATCTCCCAGTTTCCGGAGGTGGCGGCCGCCGCCGTCCCTTCTGCTCTGACGCAGGAGCACAAAGAGGCGCCAGAGGAGGGTTTGTGACGACTCTCCTCCCAGCCCTGGGCCGGGGACCGGGGACCTTCGGGAGACGACACCTCGCCTCGCTCCACACCTTGAAACTCGTTTCTTCACTGACCCAGGTGTGAGGTGGAAGACCCTGCCCGCCCTCCCTTCCTTCTTGCTGCCTGCCTGGAGTCACAATGACGTATTCCATACTGTGGGACAAAGATAGCAGGTGTGCAGACACCCCGGCTGCAGTGAAATAAGCGCAGGACAGGGACTCCAGTCGGAGCCATGTGGCTGGTGCGGGGAGCGGACGGGAGTGGCAAAGACACCCGGCCCCCGCCGCCAGCCCTGCTGAGGAGGCCCCCACTCACACAAGTGCAGAGGCAGTGCCCGGCCTACCTGGGCAGGTCAAAGAGGCTGCAGCAGTACAAGGCGATGCTCCCGGGAGAACTCTGTAATGAAAAGTCGAGAAAAAGGCTCTACACACCTAGACAGACGGCCAAGGAAAGAGCACAAAGCCGAACACAGACGGTGGAGAGGGAACACAGAATTCAACATGAAGGACAAAATTTTGCTGCAAATGAGTTTTTACATAATGTTTTAAAGGCACTTTTAGACAAAGACCTGTATGGGGTTCTTTTGGACCGACCCGTAGAGGAGAATCACAGCGCGGTCAGCCCTGAAGATGAGGCAGCCGGCTAGGCCGCTGGCTTTGCGGACACTGCATTTTTTAAAAAAAAAACTGTAGGTCTGTGGCCACCCTGTGTGGAGAAAGTCTACAGGTACCATTTTTTCCAACAGCGTTTGCTGACTTCATGTCTCTGGGTCTTGCACTATTTCAACCTTTTTCATTATTATCATATTTTTTTATCATGATCTACCATCAGTGATGATGACTAGCTGAAAGCTCAGAGGGTGGCCAACATGTTTTGGCAAGGAAGTGTTTTTTAATTAAGGTATGTACACCTTTTTTTAGACACAATGCTATTGCACACTTAATAGACTGCAATGTAGTAAACATGACTTTTATACGCACTGGGAAACTAAAACTTCATTCGACTGGCTTTATCCAGGTATTCGCTGTATCACTGCGGTCTGAACTGAGCCTGCCGTATCTCCCAGGTGCACCTGTATCCATTTCAGAGCATGTTAGATTTTAGCAACACTTACTCTAGCAGGGTCCTGGCATTTTGACTCTTCTAAAGATAAGTATGCAGGTCAACTGATTTCCAGGCAGGCTGATAGGGAATTTTAAAACTTATTCATGAAAAGTGCAATTGTACTGACTGCCCGGTTTCCACTCATTCATGAATAATGAGCATTTATTTCCTGAGCATCTTGTGGGCAGGACTATCCTGGGTCCTAGAGAGTGGATGTGAATTTGACAGTCTGGCCACAGCAAGCACAGCCTGGGCGGGGCAGAGAGGCGTGGGCGCAGGGAAACGGCCCGTCCTGTTCTGGTTGTGTGTCGGACAACTGTGGGGCCACGAAAACAGATGGGTGGCTGCCTGAGCACCCCGGGAAGCCTGGGCAGGAGGCGACCGCTGAAAAGGTGTCTCGATGACTGTGCGAACGTCACAGGAGGCGGGCTGGGGGCCCAGGCCAGGGGGAGTTCTGTGACAGGGACTCTGTCACGTCCAGGGGTGTGAGAAGTCTGGGGATGGAGGTGATGGGCAAGCTCGGAAAGGCAGGACACAATGTGAAAGTGTTGGATTTTATTCTAAATGAGGTGCCGAGAGGTTTACAAATAGGGGAGGGAGGGCCTCTGAAGACCAGTCATTTTCTCTGCCTTTCCTCTTGCTTCTCCTTCATCCTTTACCACCCAGCCAGTTATCTGAGCCAGAACTGTGAACGCATCACCCCCTGATCCCCGCTCAGCGAAGCACGGGGTCCAGTGTTGCTTTGATCTACCCATCCCTCTAAGACGCCCACCATGCCCTCCGGTCAAGCCTTCAGGAGCCCTCTCCCGGACCGCTCGCGCAGCCTCACAGCTGGGCTCTCTGCCAGGAGGCAGACTGTCTCAAAGGAAAGTCTGTCCATGCCACCTTCCCACTTAAAGCCTCACTGTGCAGGGCGAGGTACCAGCTGCAGAGGGCAGCTGAGCCCGTGGACCGGACTTCCTGCCTGTCCCAGTCCCATCTGTCACCCTGCTCCAGGAAGCTGCCCCAGGCTGGGTTTGGGAACTCTCCTCTTTGTCCCCTCCACACCCTGGGTCACCACACTTTGCTCCGTGTCCGACAAACAGCTTACGCTGTTTCTCTTCTCCCCTAAGCTAAGAGATTCTTTAGGGCAGGGTCTGTTTTTCTCTTCAATGTCTTACTCAGGGTGTGGCACACGCCAGGCTCTTAGAACTGTCAGTTTACAAATAAAAATCAAACAAGCCCAAACAAAACACTCAAGTACAGACAAGCTTTGACCTCAGCTTACATATATATATTTGTCCACGTCTAGCTATCATCTACCTTTGTAAGCCCTAAGGCCTGACACCGTACGCTGTCTAGGTGACCCTGGTGATTGGGCGGGTCATCTGGCACAGGTAACAGCAGCCCCATTCACTCATGCTGAGAAAGACCTTCTTTTGTGGGGGTAAGAAAATAATTTCTCACCGCGACCAAAACAAACCTTGAATACTCTGGCTCCAGGAATTTCCATGACTGGCTCTTCTGAGTAAGAAAGATCCTGCTCTTTAAAAAATTCCCGTATCCCAAGTTCGCTGATTTCCACGCCAACTACACTGTGTCCTCGGTCTGCAAACCTGCATAAAATCACATATTTATACTTAAAATTTTTCTTCAAGTATAGTAGTAAATAAAAGCATATACCTTATAAGCATACATTTCTCTTAATTTTAAGAAGTTTGTATGAATCCAGGCTTATAGGGTTTCAGATAACATACAGATCTATAGAAAATGGATCTAGGTAATACTCTCAAACTTTAGGTAATATGGAATTCTGAAAAATTGATTTAGATGACATTAGGACACACACTTTTTTATTTGGGAAATGATACCTTAAAATGATGATTTACTACTAATGGACTTGATGAGAAGAATTAATGATTTAAAAGCATCCTATAGATTATAAATGCTTTACAACATTTCTGAAACAGCTCTGTCCATTAAACCTTTCAGTAATGATGGACATGCCTACAAATGGACGTGCTGTCCATTCCAGCAGCCAGTAACCACTAGTAACCACCCTGAGAAGCAGCTAGTATGATTAGTTTAAATCCAAATAGCCACATGTGGCAGTGGCTATGGAACTAGAGCATTCAGCTAGAGAACACTAGTATCCATTTCTGTAATAATCTTATAGTTTCCACTTAACATACAATAAACACTATCTAGAAGTTTAATTACCATAGACAAATAACTAGTATTTCCTGCTAAGTTTTATAATTACAGAATTCAAAGTCTTGGGATCTTGGTCTCCAGAAAAAACAGTATGAGTGGCACAAATACCCAGGCACAGTACTGACCTTATGCCACATTCAATAAACATATACAGTCAGTTCTGCTATAAAGCAATATATGCTTTTCTGAAAATCACCACTATGTGACAGGCAATAAAAATCAAAAGGCTTATGGGGAAAATGGTGATAGGGGTATAATATTAAAAAAAACTTTGCCACAACGGAATATTACTCAAGTCACAAAAAAGAATGAAATTTTGCTATTTGTGACAACATGGATGGACCTTGAGGGTATTATGCTAAGTGAAATAAGTCAGAGAAAGACCATATGATCTCACTTACATGTGGAATCTAAAAAAAAAAAACAAGCTCATAGATACAAAGAGCAGATGCCAGAGGTGGGGGCTGGGTGAAATGGGTGAAGATGGTTAAAAGGTACAAACTAATAGTGACAAAATAAATAAGTGACTATAGTTAATAATACTGTATTGCATATTTGCAAGTTGCTAAGTCTTACCACAAGAAAAAAGAATTCTGTGACTATGTATGATGATACATGTTAACTAGACTTATTGGGTGGTCATTTTGCAATACATACACATATTGAAATATTATGTTGTATGTCTGAAACTAACAATGTTCTAGGTCAATTATACCTTAATTTTTTAAAAATGTTTTTTAAAAAAACCCTGTTACACATTTGTCATAACTTATCTCTGTGGATCAGGATTTTCTCAACAATATACAATTAAAATCTGGAAATAAACTGGATGAGTATTACATAAGAAAAAAAAAACTTTGCCAATGCCACATTAAAAAGAAAAAAAGAAAAGAACCTAACAGAAATGGTGCAGTTAGCACCCTACTGCACAGGTTAGGCGGTTACAAAATACGTAAGAACTACATGACACTTTACCTGGAGTGAGACCTGAAGTGTGCTTGCAGAAGTGGGTGTTGGAAGGGCTGTACTTTAAGGTGTTGTGAGGTGATGGCAGGGGGAAATAAAACGGGAAGTTCTAACACCAGCTGTGGACGGGAGGGGCTCTGGGCACACAGGGTGAACTGAGGCATCTGGGAGCTGGTTGAGGTGTGTGGCATGCATGTGTTTCACCTATTCATACATGGCTTGGTTCAGCTGGGTGCAGTTTCTGCTTTCAGATGAAATTGCACATAAGCAAATGTGAAATTCACATCACATCCAAATTATTTCCAAATATATCAACTGTGAGAACTAAATTAGCATTTTCAAAACAAGACTTGGAGCAGGACTGGCTGTACTTATTAGCCCACACAAGACTACACACTTCGAAGGTGGTCAGAGCATGAACTGTTTAGAGTTCTCAAATAAACATACCAATAACTTGCCTTTCATACTTCCTAAGAAATATCTAAGTTAACAGACAGGAAACTTTAAAAAATTCTCCATACAAAGTTATCCAAACTGGCTGTGTGGATTTTTATTTCCATTCAACATATGGAAAAACAAAGCCTAGCCTGCTATAAACTGGCATAGGCTAGTTATTATATCAGGATATACTGTCCTTAAAAAAAAAATAAAACCTAAGAAAACATCTTAAACATTTTATTTTGATGCTTGGGCTGTAGCTTGCAGTTTATTCATATCCAGTTACTGTACAGACCTCAATATACAAATTAGTTACATAAATGAAAAAAAATCCTCTATTATAATAACACACAATTACAATAGCTTAGTTCTGGTAGTTTTATTGCAAGTGACTTTAGACTTAAAATATTCAATGATCACATGTGATTTGCGGTTTCACATACCATTTCCTAATCTCATCTCGCAACCTCTGCTCGACTGTGATCGGTCACGGTACTGGCAATAAAGCAATCTGTACAGAGGTAATGTTTTATCTCACATACAGGTTTCAAAGTAACTCCTCCCTCTGGTTCAGTGAGTTGGTTAGGGTACAAGTCTAGTAAGTAATATAGCTTAAATGTTCTCAGTTTTATGGCCACACCAGAATCTGAAGCTGTGAGCAGCCATCTTACAAATGCTCTCAGCTACAAGTTGAAATGCTGCAAAGTCCCACCATCTGTCTGAAAACCCATTCTCCATGCATATGTGTGTGGTGAGCCGACCACCTATGTTTACTTAGGGACCAGCACATTTTTAATTTACTGTATATTTCACTTATTAATCTTTTTTCATATATAATTCTTTGTTTTTCTTTCCTGTTTAATAATCAAAATTCGCCACATTCAAGCTTACAAATTAATGGTATGTCTTAGTATGTACAACAGTGACCGCACATTATTATTACAATTGACTTCTGTTTAGGAAACGCACTGTCAGGTTTGGGGCTGTAGGGTAACCCATAGTAACAGTGGCTTGTTAATTAAAGGGAATTCTCTTCACAGAGAATTACTCACAAGAAATTGGTTTTATAACAATGATTCATGAAAACAAAACCCCTATGTGCTCATGAGTGGTGGGGGGCAAGAGTTAAGCTGAAGTGTGGGCTGTTCATACCATCTTGTGATTACAACCAAGTTGCAATTCATTTTGAATTTCTCTGTCCACCTCTAAAATCAACTTAGCTAAATTCCTCACCACCTACAGCAACGCTACTGTGCACAAAGATACAGAATTGGTAAGAGGGAAGGCTGCCCCCTGCCACTACTGGTCCCACACTAATTCTTTTTCTTAGAAACTCAATACACAAAGATAAGGCTGCACCTCTGTTTCTGCCAAGTCTTACTGTTAGAGAGCATTATCTCTATGAACCAGTAATCGTCTACTAAAAATAAATAATTCCAGTGCATTTCCTGAGGAGGGAATTTTAAAACTTATATCCTATTAAATATTCACCCAGCATATTTATCATCAAGACAAAATGTGTTAATGCTTATGTGCTCATACCATTTCATCTCAACTGCTTTTCCACAAAGAGGAAAAAATACCCTCAGTCCACTCTTGCCTTTAAGAAAAGAATCCAAATACTTCTTTAATAGCCTGGGGAGAAAATAAAAATTTTTAATTTTAATTAGCCCAGTGCACAGAGGAAAGGACCACAATTGGATGAGTCTAAGCACTTTCATGCATTATGTTGCTTAATATTCCCAGCAACTTTGCACAGTAGGTGACATTAGTTGTTATAATCTCCAGCTTATATATGAAGAAACAGGAGATTAATTAACTTGCTCAGTCATATAGCTAGTGACTGGCTAATCTGCCAGAAAGCTGGGCCTTTCCTGATTAGTAATTTAAAAAAATTTCCTTGGTTGATATGCTTTTAAATTCTTTATTCACTTCCAAAATGTACACTTGTATGTGTGTGCATGTTATGTGGAGTGGGGGGCGTCTGAACCCACTGAATTTTCCAACATTCATTGTATGATAAGTTCTGTAAACATGTACTCAGGTCTTAGAAGTATCTCTGAAAAGTTTAATTCTTGGAGTTAATTCCTTCTGTGAAGACATGCTCTTCTAAGGCCATCCACAGGACAGACGGAACCCGTACAGCGGTTCTGGGAAGATGACCCACTCAGTGTACGAATGTAATGACGACTACGCCCCGTGGGAAGTCAGGGTGGCTTCCTGGAACAAGGACCTTCTTCGTGACTATTTCACACAGCACTGGCCCATGATTTACTGCCGCTGTTCTGAAGCCTGCTTCTTCGTGTACGGTGCTTAACACCCCAGCTCACTTACTGATTTCTCTCAACTTCCCTTCTTCCATAATATAGATAATACTTGAACACCTGAATACATACTATTGGAAAGCAAAGTCAGAACACCATTCTTCTGTGTAAAGATGCAGAAGACGTACAAGAATACAAGCATTAATGTTGCTTGAGCATCTATTATACATATGAATATGCATAACTAATACCCTGATGTTAGAGGGGCCTAAAAAAAGACATATTTCATAAATCTAAGATGACTTCAATTGTGAATCACACCATCTCTTATACTCTGTGGGAAGAGATATTAGCAACTAACCTATGACATGCCATAGATGCATTCAGGTATCAGAGATGCTAAAATGTGAAAAACTAAAAACGTGCATCATAAAAGCAGTTAAATAGCATGTACATATATTGTTTTTTCTATTTACAAAGCCAGTTTCTGATAGAGCATTTCTCTGTTATATATCAAACATTTCTTACTGATGTCCTTGCTCTTGATGAAATGAAATTTTGTGGTCCACCCACTTTTCTTGCCATTCTTCCAGAGTTAGTACTCGGTTTTTCTGAATCTCAGGATCAGGGTACTCTTTAATATCAAGTAAAGTTCTAGTATCATCCATAGTCCTGCCGAGAAGTTTGCTTTGCAAGCAGATGTCTCCAATGCCTAAATGGAAAATATTTGCAATGTTGTCATCTAAGGGTATTCAGTTGATGAATGAAATAAAAACCTGTTATCTTCAGCAGCACAGCTATTAAAAAAATATTTCAAAATCTAAGAAAAAGCCATGCAAGAAAAAAAGTGACAGTTGAACCCCTGAACAACAACAACACGGGTTGGAACTGTGTGGGTCCACTTACACATGGATTTTTTTCAATAAATATATTGGAAAATTTTTTGGAGATTTGTGACAATTTGAAAAGACATTTTCTTTTATGCTTTAACTTGCCTTACTGTAAGAATACATATAACATACAAAATGTATGTTAATTGAATGTGTTATCAATAAGGCTTCTGGTCAAGCTATTAGTAGTTAAGTTTTTGGGGAATCAAAAGTTATATGCAGATTTTCAATTACCCAGGGAGGAGGGAACCCATGTGGCTCAAGGGCTGACTGACTGCGTTTCAGTGAGTCTGATGGTAAAGGCACATCACACATACATATGAGAAGAGATCTTTAAATAAACTGAATTATATCTTAACATTAGAGGAAAAGGGTTAAAGGTTATAAAAAGGAGAGGACAAAATAATAAGTAGTTGTTCCACATTTCCTAACTTGTAAGCTTGGAATTTTTCTTAGCATCTCACCTACTTTTTAATTTTTAAAATTTTATTTAATGTTTACTTTCTTTTTGATGTTATAATGCACACAACTTAAAGAGTCCCCATTCTCAGTGAGAAGGACAACCATCCTTAACTCTTTTAGTTGAGTCTTGGAATCTAATTCTATGTTTCACACTATCAGATTTCTTTTCTCTTCCTTATTTTTTCATTTCTAGATGGCATCTAGAGAAGATAAACTTTAGCTCTCCTTCAACTTCCCAACACACCCACACCCACTTCCCACTTTTTCTATCCTTTCAATATAGACATAGCATATACACTTTTTGTAAAATATCTGGAGTACACATTACTAAGTACTATGCACAGCTAAGCCACATAGTATTTACTTTTCCTTTTTCTTTATTCTGTAGTTAACAGCTTTTTCTTTTTCATTTACAAAATTTCTATGTATTTGTTACTAATTCAACTCTAGGCTCTCTCAGCTGTCCTGATTGCCAATCAATACTCTGTCTCTTCAGTCATCCAATCATCCGTCTGTCTCGTGCTCTTGGAGAGCTTCCAGGAGCTTTCTGACCGGGAAGCTTTCTAATCCTGGTATACAGCTAGTATTCTGGAATCTCTCTTGCTCATCATCCTGGACATTTCCTTCCAATCTTTTGATTAATCTTCCATTTCCTTTATCTGATGGTTTCCTTTTTTTTTTTGGTTACCGCCCTTATGTTTGTGAAACACAACCTCCAGTAGCTTTCTGAGGAAGGATGCATGGGAGAAAAGACTTTTACAATTTTGCATGTATAAAGTGCTTTCATAGCACTCCTGAGCCTTGATGTATAGTTTTGCTGGGTATAGAATTCTTGGTGAGAAACCATTTTCTCTCACAATTTTGAAGGAATCATTCTATTGTCTTTTAGCATCCAGAGTTATTACTTAAGTTCTAAGACATTCTGATCCTGATACTTTCTATGTGGCCAATATTTCTCTCTCTCTCTCTCTCTTTCTCTCTCTCAGCTTTTCTCTGCTTTAGTTTTTGCAATTTTATAATTCTATGCCTTATTTTGGGTGTATTTTCATCCATTTAGCCATGTTTTTAAAAATCTGGATGCTCATATGCTTCAGTTCTGGAAAAATTCTTTAGTTATTCACATGATGACTTATGTCCCCCCTTCCCTTTTTTTGCTATTTGTCTTTCCGGGACCCCTTTTATTTGGCTGCAGAATCTCTTTGACCTAATACTGTAAAGTTCTCATATTTTGTCAATTTTCCATCTTTTCATCGTTTTGCCCTATTTTTTGGAGACTGCTTTAATTTCTATCTTTCTATCTTTCTGTTTAGTTTTTCTTTTCTGTTATCAAGTCTTTAATTTTCAAGAGCTCCTTTTTGTTTCTGATGCTCTCTTTTTATACTGTTTTGTCCTTAATTTATGGATAGAATAGATGTAATATTTTATTAATCTGCGTTCTCTGTTACAAGTTGCTTTTTCTGTTGATCTGTTTTGTCTTCTATATCAAACTGGTGAGTTTCTTCAAATGCCTAGCAATTCTTAGTATCTGCTCATATTTCAGAGCAGATGCCAAAAAGCTGACTAGAAGTTTAAGTATGTAGGCTGGGCTAACTGACTGCAAGCTTCACTGCAGGATGATGAGAGTGGATGTCATTTAGACACCTTGATGTTATTATTTTTATTTTCTTTGGACTGGTCAGACTTCCCATAGACAGATGTCCCAATTCCTCTTGTAAGAATGAGGTCCTTGGGGCTGTGGTTCTGTACTCACAAGAGAAAGGATGGAATTAGGGGAGGGTCCCAGGACTCAGTTTGCCTGTGTTCTGTTAATCTCCATATTTCCAGTATGGTACTCCCGTCCTCAACTGTGTATTCTGTCTTCCCAATCCACAGACTCTTCACCCTCTTCAGGGAATAAACCCCCAAAGTCTGCTGGTGTGGAAAGGGGCAGATTCCCAGGGAGTTGGGAAAGGGATCTGGGGATTCTGCCTTTCTAAGCCAGAATTTCAAGCAGCCTTCCAAGTTTCAGGCACGCGCTTCTACCTCCTGGATGTGAGCTGATTCCCGAGCATTTGGGGGTCTACAGTGCAAACAGGATTGCTCATTGACTTTCCTCACTGCAGGTCTAGAATTTAGCTTTCTTCAGTCTACAAAATCCTTTACTACATGTCCATCTGCTTTCTAAATTTTGAAATTTTATTGTTTTTGTCTTCTGTTCTGTCCCTCCTATCCTCGTGGTTTATTACTTTAAAAATCCTTTTATTGTTGTTTTGATTTATTAAAGTGTATGTGTGGGTTCAATATCGTATTTCTATTCCATAAATTTGTACTTTCAAATAATTTTCTTCTAGCTTTTTCACATGGGAAAATGCACAAAGGGAACTAGTAAAAGGATGTGTAAACATGCAAATCCATCTGAAGGAATGAGGAAAATGTCCCTTCAATGTGAACTTAATGATACTAAAGATGATAAAACACCATAATTTAATATTCCCTTTGAATCATTAGTGAAATCAATTCAGTTTGGATTATATTAGCATGATATTTTTGGTGGCTTTAATTAAATGAGTTATCCATGACAATAACAAACACCACATAAAAGCCGATACTTCAGGAATAGTTAGTTCCCTTTATGCAAAATTTGGCTTCAGTGTCCTTAGGATTTAAAGAGAAGGCACCTCCCTTAGAATTGGGAGGAGAAATTCACTTCTCAGCAAACATGTGTTAATAAATGGCTTTTGCAAGCCCCTGATGCTGTCAGGAGGTGAATCCCAGAGTGTTCTGAGAGGTCGGGGGCGGGGGGTGCGGGGAGTATCTGATTATACTGGGTACAGAAAGCAAAAGAGAGTTGCAGTTTTCCCATCTCCATTTTCAGCCCAAAACTTTGTAACCTGAGCTTGAGCATTCATAATGCAATTCTCTACTTAAAACAAAAGGGAAGCATAATTTTATCACAGAGCCAAGGCTACTTTGAATCGTACAACTCTATTCCTTTCACACAAACTTGAAATACAATTTACATCATGGATATAACTTAATCAGTTCTTAGCTGTTCTAAATAGCTTCTCAACGTGTATTTAACTTGTCCATGCCCTTTACTGGAGAAATAAAATGTTTCTTTCCATAACAAGATAAAAGTGCAAATTATAAGAACCAGGAAAGGCAAAATTCGCAACCATACCCACCCATGCGCAGAAATAGCAGCAGTGCTAATATGGTCGCCCAAGTCTTCGGGTGGACGCCCAAGTCTAGTTTCCTCCGGCACCTTGTCAAAAACATGTTTCTGCTTTAATTTTCAAATTTTGCTAAATTGAAGAATAACTTCCCCGAAGCACACAAATGTTATTAGGACTATGGCTGAGTGAACTTTCACAAGTCATACACCTGCGCAGGCACCATGGCGCAAGACACAGAATACTTACAGCCCCCAGGCCCCTCCGCCCCCCACAGTACCACTCACGATCCCAGCAGGTGCTTCTCCTTTCTTGCAGACCCCGACTACACAACAATGCCGCGGGGGGCGCCTTAAATCCTGGACGCCGAAGCCGTTCCCTGCCGACCTCGCTGTTCCCGGTTCCCACTCTGCTCCCCGACCCCTTTCCAGCGCGCGGACTGCCGGGCCGTGCACGCCCGCTGGGGCGCCCCGTCCCGGAATCCTACCGCGGGCTCGCCCCGCCCTCTCCGCGCCGCGGGAGCCCACCTGGCGCGCTGCCGGCCGCCCTCCGCGGGCTCTGGCGCCGCCGCGGCCGCCGGCCCGGGAACTGGACGCCCCGGGCCCGCCCCGGCCCGCGCCGCGGCGGAAATGGCCGGGGCGGGGCGAGCGCCGCGGCGCAGACCCAGGCGGGGCCCGCCCTCCCCGCTCCCGCGGCCCCGCCCACCGCGGGTCACGCCGTGGCAGGGGCGGAAGCGGCGGCGGCCGAGCGGCGGCAGCGGCGCGCGCGCGCGGGGCCGGCCGTGCTGGGCTGTGCGCGCGGCGGCGGAGAGGCGCTCGCGGCCCGGGGCGGCGCGCACCGGCTCGCCCGCGCTCCGAGGTGGGGCCCGCGGCTCCGGGGACGGGGGCGGTTGACAGGTCTGCACAAAGCGGCTCGGCGGAGGTGCGGGCGCCCCCTCGCCCCCTGTGCCGCGCCGCTCGCCCGCACGGGGCGTGCACCTCCGTCCCCGGGTGGCAGAGGGGGTGCGCGGTGGGGATCCCGGTCTGAGGAAGGGGAATCCCGGGCCGGGAGCTGCAGCGACGGGGCTCCCCGGGTCGCCGCGGCGCCGAGGGTCCCTCCTGAGCCATACCGCGTTTCCTCTCTGCTCAGCGGTGTCGCCTCCCCGCGACTCCCTGCACCGCTTCGGCGCAAAGGTGAGCCCCGGAGGCTGTGGCTGCTCCGACTTCGGAGAGGAGGCGAGGAAGCTTTTCAGAAATCGAGGCGGCTTCCCTGTGCCGGCTGGGGCGCCCCGCTGGGGGCTCCCAGAGCCGTGCCCCCCCCGGGGGGACCCCAGCCCGGGACCAGGGGCCCCCTCGCCATTCCTCCCGGGCACCCGTACAGGTGTGCGCTCCCGCCCGGCGCGGAGCCGCGTCGCAGGGCCGGGTGGCTGGGTGACTCCCAGGCTGGGGACCCGATTGCGGTAGCTGTTGGTCAACAGGGTGGCAGCTGGACGTGAAAGAGGAAGGAAGAGTCAGGCCCAGCTGTGAAAAGTTGGGGTTCCGCGATGGGGAACCGAGCCAGATGGGGGCCCCGCCGGCTGCTGGGTGAGCGTGCAGAGCGCACGGTCCGTGTGTTCGGGGAGATGCCCCTCCGCATATGCACACACAGCTCAAGGCTATGGCGTTTTGTTTGGTTGCTTTTTAAAAAATTCATTTTAGTGGAAGAAAGGCGAGTGGGAGGAAGGTGTCTTCAGGAGGTACGGGAGAAAATGACCGTCAATTATTAGTTGTCTTCCAGGCAGAGAAGTAGCCACAGAGCACCCAGGCAATTGAACTGGATCCGTATTTCAGCAAATGTGATTAGTGTGGGTGCAGGAAGGTGCTAGTCCTGCGTTATTGTAAGGAGCCCAAAGGGAAATTCTTGTTTCTGTTGTCTCTGAAGAAGTTTCTAGTAGTATTTTCCACTTTTAGGTATTAGGCTGCCCACCACTATAAATTTTTATTACAAACTGAAATCCAGTTAGGATTATTCCAATCCAGTCCTTTTGATTGGTATTTTTATGAATTCTGTGTATAAGTGTTGTAATGTTTCTGAATAAACTACTTCAGAAAAACTGGAAATTATTAAAATAGAAATCTAGACATTGATATATCCACATATGTATACACCCCCAAAAAACCCACCACTTTTTTTCTTTCTTTTGTCACAATACAAGAAAACAGCTAGGAATTTAAAATTAGGAAGAAATATGCTTATAAAATTCTACTGAACATGAAACAAATTGATGATATTTAAAGTTAGGAGTGTTTATTAATTTGAAGAACCAGGTGGGAAAACTTTCACTTTACTAATTCATTTTAATGACACTTTTGATCAGTATTTCTAAGGTCATATGTAAAAGCACAATAACTGTAGTCCTGCCAACTTTACTTGAAATTTTTTCCTCCATATTAACCCCCAAGAACCCAGCAAAAGTGAAATTACAGTGTCAACTATAGGTGAAAATGTACTACCCTAAAAGTTGTCAATCATGGTTTTCCCAGACAGCATAGATTTAGTAATGGCTTTCACAGCTAATGTTTAGGAAATGTCCTGTTAGCCATTTCTTGAATCATGTCATTGTTTATTGCAATTAAATACATATTTTCCAGTATACATCTGGATTAACAAGTTTGATGAAATGTCCAGAAACTGCTTGCTTTTGAGACTGCTTGCATTTCTAGGTGACAGGGTCAAATGTTGCATGACTGTAGGCTGATTTTATTTACATTCCTAAACATCACATTAGACTCAAGTGTCTTTGCCACCATACTTATGTATATTCTGCATTTACATGTACTATGTACATGTTCATATGTGCTTTGCTTGTGGTTCAGTTTATGAATAATGTTGCTTATGTTTTATATGAAGAGATTTGTTAAGATTGGACAGCCTTTTGAAAATACAGATGCGATCGGGGAAGCCTTGCTTGGCTGTAAGCTCTCCGTGGACAGTAGTGCTTTGAGCATCGCTGGTGGTTTATCCAGCAGTGTAATGGGTGCTGTAGAACCGGTTATTTATTTAATGCTTAAAAAACTATCATGCAGAATTTTAGAATCTGTGTAGGGTTTCAGAATGTTCATTTCACAGTATGGATAAGGGTTTATGTGTTCACAACTAACATTGTTTTGAGAAGGTGAAGACTTGAATCAAAGGAAAATCATCTGTAACATTGGCGTGAAGATTTCTCAGAGTCGATGTAGATGGTAAACTGAAAGTTTACACATGTAATGTTATCCTTGAAAAATGTTGTTGTGTGTGTTAGTACAATTCATAGATATGAAATAATAGGATTACAAGCCCCTCAAAGTTTTTCTTCAAGGTCAAGATGATATATGTGGAATTTGTATTTTATGGTAATACTTTTCAAATTCCTTATCCAAAGGTACGTCCTATTTTTCATGCTCTCATTTTGTGTGTTTTGTGCATAGTAAATATGATGGATCAGGGAAGGAGATGTGTGATAATTGTAGAATCCATATATTATTGAATTACTCAACTTATGCCAAGATTTTTCATTCCCAGGAACATTTCGTCCCCTTAGCTAATTACATGAGATAATTTAATCTGAAAAATACTAATTTGATAAGTCTTAATCTTTCATGGTTACTGTGAATTATTTTTCTCATAGGCTTTTGGTTCTTAATGTTGAACTGTGCTGTTATTAGACTAGTTTGAGAACTCATAAAACTTCCACTAGAACATACCAGTGACTATCTAGCCAGGATTCCTGCGTTCAGCAGTGAGTATAGTGTGCCTGAGATTTAGTTGTTGAGCTTTATTGACAAAGAATGAACGAATTGTTGTTCTTCTTAAAGCATAACATGAGATTAAAATTCAGCAACTGCTAAGAAGGCAGTAAACTGGAGAGAAACATAACAGACAAAAACTAGGTGTTTTTACTCATTTAATTTTATAGTCATGTGATTTGCTTATTGGTGATCCATGTGATAAGTTTCTCTTTTTAATATTTTCAAATGTATATACTACTAATGGATAATATTTATTGTGTACTTATAATTTGCCAGGCCTGGTACTTTAAATGCGTCCTCCTAGGCCTCACACTAATGCTGTGTGCGTGCTCGCTAGACCCACTTCATGTATGAGAACACTGAGGCTTAATTTTGAAAGCAAGGGCTTCACACTCAGGCAGACTGACTGTAAAGCATGCAACTCCATGACTTTGTTCCAGAGTGTTGAAAGTATTATTTAACAGTCTATTTTTTTTTTTAAAACAGATTTTCTGATACAATGGCAACCCCACGGAGAAGGACAAAGAAAAAAGCATCTTTTGATCATTCTCCGGACAGCCTGCCTTTGAGGAGCTCCGGCAGGCAGGTATTACTCGTTTGCTCATTCACTGCAGCCGTGTCTGGAGTGCACAGCATTATTACGGTGGGGCTTGAAAAGTTAGAGATGAAAAGACAAAATTGCGGTCCTCAAGGAACTTGTAGGCTAGCGGAGAGGTTGGACCCTGGGGCAATCACAGTGTGATAAAGTGACAGATCGTAGCAAAGAGCATACCTGGCGGAGAGCTGCAAAGATAGGTGCACAGAGTGCGAATCCGCGTGGGGCGTTCAGAGAAGCCGGGGCCAGATGACGCCTGGCTCCCTATCCGGCATAGGGATCTGGGGTTGGCTTGGAGTTGCTAGGGTGCTGTGGGTGGGTTACTTTCTGCCATCTCATTTGCAGGGCAGATTTTTTTTTTTTTTAAAGAAAAATAATGATGTAATTCTCTTTCTAGAATTATTCTAGTTTTTGCATTACTGGGAGGCTGTAACTGCCTTTAGTAAATAAAAAAATCTTACTTTGAGAGGGGCTTTTATTTTGACTAATAACAGCTTTTTCCTCAGAAAGGCTCACATGCATTTTCATTCTCGGAGCCCGATCGTTGCAGGGCTGGTTCTGTATCTCTAGCCAGGCAGTGAATTATTTGCACAGTGCAGTTTCAAGAAAGTGGTTATACTGTCAGCCCCTGACCTACTGTCAGGCTGTTGTTGATTTTCACGTTTAGGACAACTCCTAGCGGCAATGATTTCAGGAGTAAACCCTCACCGTTGGCCATTCTGGCGAAATCTCAACCTCGGCTGATTCTTCCACAGGCGAAGAAAAAAGCAACGGAGATGACGGACGAGGATGAAGACGGCGGGTCTGAGAAGAAGTACCGGAAGTGCGAGAAGGCGGGCTGTACGGCCGCGTGCCCCGTGTGCTTCGCCAGCGCTTCTGAGAGGTCTGTGTGGACGGGGCGTCGGGCCTTCCATTCCTGCCCTGGGGCCCTCTTTCCGGTGACCTTGCTCTTGAAGGTCGTTCTCCTAAAGATAGCTGGAGATGCCGCACGCCATGTGACAGCAGCGGGGTTCCCTGCGTGCTCTGCACACACCGACCGCATCGGGGGGCCCAGCCGTATGAGCTGGGCACAGGGACCAGTCGGTGTCCTCAGGCCCCCCCCAGCTGTCCCCCTCCCAGAGGTTGAGGAAGGAATGGGCGAGGGGTGGGGACACAGTGGAGAGACCATGAGCTCCCTGTGGAGACCTGCGTGTCCTCTCTTACCCCGGGCCTCTGCCAGCGGGCACAGGCAGGCCTCCCCGAAGCCAGGTAGCTAGCTGCACCCTTGCCATGGTCACTGGGCCCTCCCAAGCATGACCTTTGGCTTCCAGAGAAAAAACTTCAGTTAAGGCTTCCAATTCAATAAAATCTGGAAAACAAATCCCATTTGTTAAAAAAATCACAAAGAAGTGGTGGTGGTAGTGTTCTTAGTGGCAGTATATTTCATTCTTTGCCCTGTTACTGGCTGTGTGGCAGTTTCTGTTCGCCAGATTGCCTACGTGATGATCGCCCTGCAGCTGCCCAGACGCATTCCCTGCTTGATATTTAGGCAGATACTCTTCCAGTGCCACACTTCCCCCCCGTCACGCACACGCAGCCTGCCCAGGCCGGCGGCATCTGGGTCATGTCATTAAACCCTGTCACCCACCGCTCTGAGGAGTCTCGATGAAACCCCCGAGCCCCAGGCCTCCCTGACGTTTGGCCGCCTGGGTCGGCGGCCTCCACGGCCCAACACCTGTGTCCTCGTCATGCGTTACTAGGAATCTGTCATCCAGTCCATTCCCCTGTTGTTAGCTCCAGGATGGGAGGATTTAAGTGGAGATAACGCAAAATGGGCTCATAGGAGGTGCTTGATATGTGCTTTTTTAAGAAAGAGAGTGTGAAGAAATATTCATTCATTACCAAAGCTACATGTTTTTGCTGTTTTCAGATGTGCCAAAAATGGCTACACATCCCGATGGTATCACCTGTCCTGTGGGGAGCATTTCTGTAATGAATGTTTTGACCATTACTACAGAAGGTTTGTCCTGTAATTGCTTGAGATTCCCGTGGGGGAGGGGATGGCAGAGTTGGGGGGCAGCAGAGGGGGTCAGGAGGTTAAGGCTGTGCCCCCGAGCTTACTGAATTATGCTGCTGTTCCAGCCACGCCGTGCGAGAATTCTGATGCTGTAGTTTGTGTGTGCGTGCACCCTCAGGGCCCAAAAACACCTGCTGTGAGACAGTTATCCTCTCGTAGACACGGAAGTTGATAGGAATGCCCTCTTCCCGCCCCACCTGGTAACATGGCTGGTTAAGTCCTTTCAGTAGGATTTACTAACCTGCCTCCTGTTTGGAAAACCTGATTAATTGTATCTTGATACATTTGTTTTTTATTCTTTTTCAGCCATAAGGATGGATATGACAAATATACCACATGGAAAAAAATATGGACTAGCAATGGGAAAACTGAACCTAGTCCTAAAGCTTTCATGGCAGACCAACAACTCCCCTACTGGGTAAAAAAGATAAGGCCTCATTGACATGCGAAGCATTTGTGGAGCTAAAAACGAGAGCAGTGGGTGAAAATACTGACTTTTAGGAAATTTTTCTTTTCTTGTATTTATTGTTCTTTCTGGGCCTATTAAAGCAAAATTATATTTTTAATCTTTGTAGAAAACCTAGATATAACTCACATAGTATAAAGAAGAAATGAAAGACTCAGCACCAGCTGGTGATTGTCATTGCCGAGCTTGGTACCTGTCTCCCTAATGTTTTTTTATGTTCATATTTTCATGTGTGTGTTTAAACAGTTTGATGCTGCATACACAAATCCCAGTTAGGTTTAAAATCATACTTCACATATAATTTTTGGTAGCTTTTATTTTTTTGTTACTAATTTAACTTTATTTTTCCATTTAGCCATTCTTTAAAATTATAGTTTAGTGATTGCATATATAAGATAAATATAAGATGGTTTAATAAATAATTTGCTGATTTTTAAAATATAGCATTCCTGAGCTTCTCTTGCATACTTAAAAAACTTTTTTATTGAAGTGGAATTCACATAATGTAAAATTAAAATTAAAGTGTACAATTCAGTGGCATTTAGTACATTCAGTGTTGTGCAGCACCACCTATGGCTAATTCCAAGCATTTTTATCATTTATAAAGGAAAACCTGTGCTCATTCCTCTCTCCCTCCAGCCCCTGACAGCCACAAACTTGCTTTTTGTCTTTATGAATTTACCTATTTTGGATGATTTATATAAAGAAATCTTGCAGTTTATGACCTTTCGTGACTGGCTTCTTTCCCTTAGCATAATGTTTTTGAGGTCCGTCCATGTTGTTGCATACATTAGTACTCCATTCCTTCTTATGGGCAAGTAGCATTCCACTGTACGGATTGCCACTTTTNTTTTCAAATTCCTTATCCAAAGGTACGTCCTATTTTTCATGCTCTCATTTTGTGTGTTTTGTGCATAGTAAATATGATGGATCAGGGAAGGAGATGTGTGATAATTGTAGAATCCATATATTATTGAATTACTCAACTTATGCCAAGATTTTTCATTCCCAGGAACATTTCGTCCCCTTAGCTAATTACATGAGATAATTTAATCTGAAAAATACTAATTTGATAAGTCTTAATCTTTCATGGTTACTGTGAATTATTTTTCTCATAGGCTTTTGGTTCTTAATGTTGAACTGTGCTGTTATTAGACTAGTTTGAGAACTCATAAAACTTCCACTAGAACATACCAGTGACTATCTAGCCAGGATTCCTGCGTTCAGCAGTGAGTATAGTGTGCCTGAGATTTAGTTGTTGAGCTTTATTGACAAAGAATGAACGAATTGTTGTTCTTCTTAAAGCATAACATGAGATTAAAATTCAGCAACTGCTAAGAAGGCAGTAAACTGGAGAGAAACATAACAGACAAAATCTAGGTGTTTTTACTCATTTAATTTTATAGTCATGTGATTTGCTTATTGGTGATCCATGTGATAAGTTTCTCTTTTTAATATTTTCAAATGTATATACTACTAATGGATAACATTTATTGTGTACTTATAATTTGCCAGGCCTGGTACTTTAAATGCGTCCTCCTAGGCCTCACACTAATGCTGTGTGCGTGCTCACTAGACCCACTTCATGTATGAGAACACTGAGGCTTAATTTTGAAAGCAAGGGCTTCATACTCAGGCAGACTGACTGTAGAGCATGCGACTCCATGACTTTGTTCCGGAGTGTTGAAAGTATTATTTAACAGTCTATTTTTTTTTTAGAAACAGATTTTCTGATACAATGGCAACCCCACGGAGAAGGACAAAGAAAAAAGCATCTTTTGATCATTCTCCGGACAGCCTGCCTTTGAGGAGCTCCGGCAGGCAGGTATTACTCGTTTGCTCATTCACTGCAGCCGTGTCTGGAGTGCACAGCATTATTACGGTGGGGCTTGAAAAGTTAGAGATGAAAAGACAAAATTGCGGTCCTCAAGGAACTTGTAGGCTAGCGGAGAGGTTGGACCCTGGGGCAATCACAGTGTGATAAAGTGACAGATCGTAGCAAAGAGCATACCTGGCGGAGAGCTGCAAAGATAGGTGCACAGAGTGCGAATCCGCGTGGGGCGTTCAGAGAAGCCGGGGCCAGATGACGCCTGGCTCCCTATCCGGCATAGGGATCTGGGGTTGGCTTGGAGTTGCTAGGGTGCTGTGGGTGGGTTACTTTCTGCCATCTCATTTGCAGGGCAGATTTTTTTTTTTTAAAGAAAAATAATGATGTAATTCTCTTTCTAGAATTATTCTAGTTTTTGCATTACTGGGAGGCTGTAACTGCCTTTAGTAAATAAAAAAATCTTACTTTGAGAGGGGCTTTTATTTTGACTAATAACAGCTTTTTCCTCAGAAAGGCTCACATGCATTTTCATTCTCGGAGCCCGATCGTTGCAGGGCTGGTTCTGTATCTCTAGCCAG